CCCCCCCCCCCCACTCCCACCCCATCCACATTGAGTCTCTCCTGTTATTTTTGGTGAGAGTTCTTTTTTCTGAGCCAGGATAGAGGCAAACTTCTGCTCAGCTCCATGCTCTTTCTGAAAGTTGACTGAGCACTCTATCACTGTATGCAAGGCATGAGGCTGGGCGGGCACTGTCATCTGGATTATCTCATGTAGTCCTCCAAGAGGAAAGACTAATGGTCCATTGTTGTAGATAAGGAAACAGTGGCCCACAGAATGGGAAGTGCCTGCCTAAGGTCACACAGTGGACAGACAGTCGTGTCATGCCTCTTGACAGAGCTAAGGCACATTGACAAGCTCTGGAGTTAGACCAGGGTCAAAGCTCAGCTTTCAGTGTGGCCACGTCACCTTACCTCTCTTCAGCCTCAGTTTTTTCATCTGAAGATTGGGGGTGACATCCGCTACCTCCCAGCAGGGGGGACAGAAGCTATAGCACATGTGAAGGCTTGGCCAGAATGCTGATGGCATTACCACCCTGTTCTCTGAAGCCTCCCCCAGCCCCTCACCACTCCTTGCTCCTCTGTCCCCAAGCCCGATCCCAACCCAGCACACACCTGGAGGACGGTCCCTGCCCGGGGGTCGAGAATCCGAATCTTGCGGTCTTTACAGGTGGTGGCCAGCAGGCTGCCACTGGGGTTGAAGGACATGGAAAGGATCACGTCTTGGTGGCAGCAAATTGTCCTCACGGGGTTATTGATTACAGAGTCCGTTGTGTCCAGGTTCCAGACCATCACCTGTATGGCAATGAGCTGGCTCTGAGCACGGTGTTGCCCCGCCCCTGGCTCCCACAGTCGCAAGCCCGGCAGGCTGCAGTGAAACATGGTATCCCCAGGAGGGAAGACACAGATGGCAGTCTGGCCAAGAAGCCTTGGGTGGGAGGATGGATCTGCCGGCTGAAGCTGCCACGTGGCAAAAGGGGAAGCCGGGAGTCAGGCTGTCTGGTGGTGAAAAGAAAACACCATCTGCTTTGGAGCAACAAAACATCCATGGCTGGAGGACCGTAGGGGATGAGCTAGACCAGGGGGTTTCAAACAGTTATTAGTAGCAGTTTCCACCTCACACAGATAAACAGGACTGCCATGTTTAGCTGCATAGGTTGTGCACTGCACAGCTCCAGGGCAATCCATTCTCATAGCCCATGGTATGAATTGCACCCCCTGGAGCTGTGTGCAGAATAATGTGCACAATCATCGCAGCGCCCTGTACACTCACCCTACATAAACAGAAAAAAGAGCACTTCTGATCAGGAGGGAAGAGACCCTGGGGCGCCTGGGTGGCTCAGTCAGTTAACTGTCCGACTTCGGCTCAGGTCATGATCTCCGTGGTTCGTGGGCTTGAGCCCCGCATCAGGCACTGTGCTGACAGCTCAGGGCCTGGAGCCTGCTTCAGATTCTGTGTCTCCCTCTCTCTCTGCCCCTCCCCTGCTTGCTCTCTGTCTCTCTGTCTCAAAA